AGACTGTGGGGGCGATATGCTGACTCTGTAAACCGCTTAGAGAGGGCTGAAAGCCCTATGAAGCGGTATATAAGTCTAACTGCTATTGCTATTCCCAGGGTGCGCCACAGGAGGGCGAGCTGGCTTCGCAACAGAGAGAAAGACGAGCGGCTCTTCCTGCAGTGTCACCAAAGGCCCCTTTCTTTCCCAGAACTGCTTCACAAGTGGGCATCACAATCGGAAGGTTCAGAGCCATCTGACTGCCTGCACAGAGCACCTGCTTGTCTCCCCACTAAAGTGGTACCTATTTATCTACTTGCATATTCTATGCAAGTAGATAAATAGGTACCATTTTGGTGGGGAGACAAGCAGGTGCTCTGTGCAGGCAGTCAGATGGCTCTGAACCTTCCCGGTTCTACTTGCATAGAATATGCTTTCGAACTTTTAGATGGACAGAAGCTGAGACGAATGGCAGGAGCTCACCCCGCCCTGCAATGCAAGAGCTCAAACTGCTGGAGCTGAAACTATCTCCAGTGTCATTAAGCCACTCAGCCACCCTGCCTCTATATACAAGGTATTGACTTGGATGCATACAAACAAATGGGTCATCACTTTGGGGATAGGGGCACCTGATTTTCCAGAGCCTAAATCAAGCTCTGTTCGCACTAACCTGAACCCATTGAAGCATCATCAGGTCAGAACCAAACCAGCTGTTACATGAAGCCGGAAAGGTCCGAGTGCCAATTCTGCTGTAGTGGAGTTGTCTGTCCCCCAATGCTATTCTCAGCCTAAACCCATTTGTAAAGGAAACTATTTGTAACTCAGAGTTGAAATAAGGAGTCCTTGGTGTTCTCTGAGCTTGATTGTTTTCTTGCAGATGTTTCATTACCCAAACTAGGTCACATCACCAGTAGTAGAATCATTAGTGATGATGATGATGCCTATTTGGGGCAATGAAACAACCAAGCTCGGAGAGCACTAAAGCTGCTTGACGTAGTAACTACACAGGTTTTTGAGCTCCTTGAAGGATTCAATAAAGGATTCAATAAACTCCTTTTCAAATTTTATTCTTTGGGAAGGAGCTCACCCCAGTTTACAGAGGTTTCCCAAGTCAGTGCTAAGCAGGGGAGCAACCCCCATGATGGTCACTCTTTAAAGACCCCATCCTGGATGGCTACAATTTTGTTCCCAGGCTGTATTGTAAGCTGGGCTGAAAAGAAAAAATACCACCACTCTCTGACCTTCACACACAGTTCTAGCTGACATGCAGGCTAGTGTTAGGTTACACTGTTAACCCACCCTGCCCACAGGTTAAAAATGGGATTGGAAGGCAGATGATTCTGAACAGGTTAAAAACCTCCTCTCTTGGTATCAACTTGCTGTATCTCTGCCTTTTTAAAAAAAATTCTAAACCTACTGTGTTTTTATTAAAGGTAAAGGTTCCCTCGCACATATGTGCTAGTCGTTCCTGACTCTAGGGGGCGGTGCTCATCTCTGTTTCAAAGTCAAAGAGACAGCGCTGTCCAAAGATGTCTCTGTGGTCATGTGGCCGGCATGATTAAATGCCGAAGGTGCACGGAACACTGTTACCTTCCCACCAAATGTGGTTCCTATTTTTTTACTTGCATTTTTACATGCTTTCGAACTGCTAGGCTGGCAGAAGCTGGGACAAAGAACGGGAGCTCAATCCATTATGGGGCGCTAGGGATTCGAACTGCCGAACTGCCGACCTTCTGATCGGCAAGCTTAGCGTCTTAGCCACTGTGTCCCCTCATGTTTTTATTAGCAGCAAATAAAAAAGTATTCATTTTTGACTGTTTATAGCAAGGGTCGCCAACCCCTGGCCCATGGATTAGAACCGGTCTACAGCATCCCAGTAACCAGTCCGTACAAATAAGCAAAGGCCCATCCGTAAGATGCAAACAGCACGTGAAACCATGCTCCCTCCAGTCCACGGAAAAAACCTCTCTCCACGGAACTGGTCCCTGGTGTCCCAAAGGTTGGGAGCCACTGATTTATAAAATTGGTCTCTTTCTTCAGCTAAACTAATAAAAATTAAGACCCCTGGCTTCAAGTACAACTGGTAGTTTTACCTTTTCGTTCATAGGAGCTTGTGTCATTTTGCATTCCATTGACTTTTGTTTCAGAACCCTGAAAATGGAAAAACAGCAGAGAATGGCTTTAATCTCCCTGTAATCTTTCCTTACACATCCATGAAGTAACACCTGACCTTGGACCTTCTGCCAAACCAAACTACCAACCCTTTGAAAGCTGATGCCCAGAAGAGCTGCATTTTAAGTTTTACGCGCAATTCAGTTCTATGGAAGGATCGTACCATGACCCGTCAAAACCGCGCTTGACTAAACCGCGCCCGATTAAACCGCGTCGCTGACGTCATCAACAGGGCGACAACAGCCAGCGC